TCCTAATGATCAGAAGGTATGACTGGAATTAGTGTTCTTTGTGAAATAATGACATCTGCAGTGTCCTGGGTACTTGTAGGCTTACAAACTGACATCAGTGAGAGATGTGCTACTCCACCTGGTTGCCTCTAACTCGTTAGTAAGGTATTGTGGTGATTACAAGGTATTATAAGATGAACAGTCTCATGGGTTGAAAGAGATTATCTGTCAAAGCCCCTCTTGCAGGACAAGAGTCATTGCTATTAACTGAGACACAAGAAACAGTTGCTGATGCCAAAATAATTGGGACAAAAATGAAAAATAAAAAAAATTTAAAACGCATTGCACTGAACGAAAAACATGCCATTTTATACAGGCTTGATATCGGAAAAGCACTGCATTTCATTTTCCATGTTTAAGCAACTATTCTACCATTATGAGGTTATTGACATAATAATATGTCATAATCATATTGACACCTTATTTTCATGAACAACATTAGAATGCTAAAATGAATCCTTAATCTTTACATGCATTTTTTCTTTATAGTATCATAACAAGCATGTATTTCCTGAGTTATATTTCTGTGGCTGTAATGAAACAACATGAAATATGTAGTATTTCTGCAGTCTAAGGCTGTGAAAAAAAAAAGAAGAAGAAGAAGAATAGAAATAATAGACACACAACTAAAGTGTAGTTTGAACCCAGACATGTTAAATTGTTTTATATTTGCAAGGCAAGGTTGTGTTATTGGGAGCTGAAATGCAATGAAAGCAGGCAGTAATAGATTTATTTTTCTCACATCTTCTCGCTCGATAATCGTATTTCTTACAGGAGACAAAGGAGACACCTGTACCAACTGTATAGCCTCTGGACCATCTGGGCCTCCTGGACCTCAAGGCCCTGATGGACAGCAAGGTGAGGCAAAAGCCATCTGGAGCACCTTTTTCAGAAAAAGGGAACTTTTTTCCACGTGATATAAATTATGATCTCAGAACTACTCACCCTATACTCATCTGAGGTCTCTTTATGAGAATGTCTTTCCTATCTTTCATTATGTCTTTCAAATAAAAAAAAGTGGTGAGAAGATCTCTGTTAACAGATGTATGGGGTGGGGCTGATCTACACATCCAATAGTGAAACTGGACCCCTTGAGGGATGATGTATTTATTTTTTCTAATCTGCAACTTTCAGGTATTTTTGTGTTCAGACCCCTCTACTCCAATTTTAAACACGCAAATATTTTGCTTCTTGATAACCCTTTTATCAGCCCAGGTAGACTGGGATGGCAGCTAAGATTTCTGAAAAAGAAACATGTTCATGCAAGTTGCTCTCAACAGTATTTAAGCCATTAGTGAAACTGCTCGCTTGTAATACTTATTTTTTTCTTTACAGTCAACTAATTTATATTTGTGATCATGAAATGAATATGTTTATTTCTGTCTAATTCCATGCAAAAAGTTGATCATAATAAAACAAAAGCACACTTTTTGTTCAACCCAGTGATTTCTAGTCACCATACTGTAAGTATAGGGTCAGATTCACAAGTACATTTCTGAATATAAAAGTCATTTTTTGCATCACTGTTGAGTTTACTCATTCCAATGTTGAATTGGATTTAAATCTGGAAATTGACTGGGTTGGTCTAAGATTTTCCATTTTTTCTCTTGACAAAGGGATAGTATAGCGCTTTGACCAATGAACTCTTACTCTTGTACCCAGGCCCCTGGAAAACTCAATTTTCTCTTATTCTCTTACAACAACAGTTACAACATACAGTAACAACAGTTTCTCAGAACCAGTGTGTTTGTTAGTATTTGTTGTGTTTACACCACTTTTTAGTGAAAAGATGCACCTTATTGTCATTTTTCTGTTTGTGTCAATAACAGGTTATCCAGGGCAGCCAGGTAGGAAGGGGGAGAAAGGTTCAGCAGGATTACCAGGTCTTCGAGGATACCCCGTGAGTTAACTAGGATTAAGATTTCAGATGCCCCAATTTATTGTTACTGGGCTGCTTGTCTATCTTTGCGTTTACTATCATTTGCAGGGCGATAATGGTGCTCCAGGGCTGATTGGAAATCCTGGTGCGAAAGGCGAACCTGGTGATGTTGCTTTTAGTCCTGACCTGAAGGGTGAGAAGGGTGAACGAGGTTTTGACGGTGTCCCTGGACTTCCTGGTAAAGACGGGTTGCCAGGAAGAGACGGCATTCCTGGACCTCCTGGTCCTAAAGGACAACCTGTGAGTACAACCAGGAGATTGTTTCGGTAATCATTGGCATTGAATAGTTTATACCACAGTAGTTTCTTCATAATAAGGAGGAAGGACATGAGTCTGTGAAATTACTAGATAGAAGACGAAAACTACAAGCAGCTTGAATTTTAAGAAAACCAAGATGTTGAGAGGGCTTACTCAGTAACCCCACACCCTTAGCAATATTTAAATTCCGATCTCTAGATTAAAGTACTAAAAAGATACCTCTCAAATTGAAGTTGATCATGAGTAGTTTGTGGTACTGTGTAGGACACATGGACAGAAAATGGTGGTAAAGTTGCATTTGTGGTGTATGCAGGAAGTTGGGCAGTATTGTAATTGCACTGCATCAAATCTTCCAAGTGTAGTATCTTTGAACTCCTAAGCAGATTTTAGTGTGCAGTGTGATGAAACCTCCAGTTTCTTCTCAACTGGTGGTAGCTGTACAACAGTACAACTTAAGTTGAAGAGCACCTAATGACTCTGCATTGCATTGCATTTCAACAAACAGGTGACAATCTGATATGGACATATAAATATATAATGTATTATTGTAATCTGCCCAGTGCTAGTTTGGAGTTTGCTGGCCCAATGATTTTTTAAACAGCAGTGTGCACAAAATATATTGTTGCAATTTTCAGCTGATCAGCTAGGCAGACATAGGCTCCAAGATGTCAACACTGCTGTTTAAGGATTGAGGGTGTCTGGAACAAGCCTGTCAGTCCTGATTCCCTGGGTCCTTTCCCAAACTGGCTGGTTGACATTCTGAAATCCATAAACTATGAAAAAACAGCCAAGAAGGGTCAAATGGCCTACTCGTTAAAAATCTTTCTTATGTTCTAAAATGGGGGTAATGCTGTTTTCTTACCCCTAAATGTGCTTCATGTGTCAGTTTCTCCATTTTGACACGCACATACAGTACAGTATATACCATACGTGTACTGTAGTTGCCACCGAAAGTGATTCAGGATTATTTTCATTCTTGTAAAATCCACGAAATTGGATTTAGGATTATTTTCATTCTTGTAAAAGTAGCATGTTTTGGGGCTGTGGTCATTAGGTCTAATATCCTACTACCTTGTACTACCTTAATGCAGGAAAGTGAAGCACATAAAACATATATGTTCTAACCTCTCAGGCAACTGCAGGCGTCAAAGGAGATAAAGGACGGGATGGGGACCCTGGTTTCCCTGGCCCTCCAGGAGAAAGAGGGCCTCCTGGCATACCAGGGTTCGGCCTCCCTGGTGAAACTGGGGAGAAGGGACTACAGGGTGTCCCTGGACTCCCGGGATCTCCTGGCATTCCAGGCAAGTGCACTGAACCGAGTGAAAAGGCATAGAAAAGAAAGTATGCCCTTAACATTTTATCTTGGTTTGCTTTACCTTAACTATCTCTGTTGTCTTGATTGACCACTATACTTCTATACTAACTATCCCCAAGTTCATTATTAGTTCATGAATTATTAGTTCATTATTACCTGGTTTGCCAGCAGCCATATCACCCTGCAGCTCACAACTGGCAACCCAGTGCAGCTAAGCAGGTGTGAGCCTGGTCAGTACCTGGATAGGAGACCTCCTGGGGAAAACAAAGCTCTTGCTGTTGGAAGAGGTGTTAGTGAGGCCAGTAGGGGGTGCTCACCCTGCGGTCTGTGCGGGTCCTAATGTCTCCGTATAGTGTGATGGGACACTATAGGAAAGTGAAGGGCATGACAAGCCACAGAAAGGCGTCACGGTCATCCACTGCAGCCAAGGAAGTCTCCAGTTGTGACGACCACATACTTAAACCACTGGACCCAGGCTTCTGAATACCACCTGATTAATATTGACAGGACAATTTTATTTTAGTAGTCCAGACATTTGCTTGATTACATTTTATTGGATCTGTGTGCTGTGGTGTAAGATCAAACTTAATTGACCTCATTTATGCATTGAACAATATTAAAACCCAAGGGTAGTCTGCAGATGTGATATCACCTGCAAATACACATTTCTTCATTATTGTTGTTATTAACCAGTTATTCAGGGTGACCTACAATGGGTTACATGTACTGTAAAGTAAAGTTAATCTTCACTTTGTTCATTAAATGTTTACCCTGCATTTTGCATGTTGCATGCTGCATGTCCAATGTGTTTTGGTTTATATCAGAATCTGCTAAATATATTTGTCCATATATTTTAAGACTGTTTTTACTTAAAATATGCTGCATAATAATATTTTTTAAATAATGAAGAATCCTG